TTAATCACGATGATAATCATATATTGGTACGCACTAGTCGTTAAAGTACTAATACTACTTAATTTCAGAGGTTCTAAAGTTGATCACGAAAATCAAATTTTTTATGAGAGAAAAACACTGTAATAAAATTAATTATTTAAATTTAAATATATGTAGTAAACGGACTCTGTATTAATTTAGCTTTGCAGGAAAACTATAGTTAATTAGCTAGCATGCTTTTACCTGCAGCCAATTCTCGAGCTTGGATGGAAGAGGAAGATAAGAGAAGTGTAGCTAGAAGAATACTAATAAGTATAGAGAAAGCCTTCATCTTAATTCGGGTTGGGGTTTTTTTTTTTTTTTTTTTTTTTTTTTTTTTTTTTAACGTTATCCTCCTATTTATAGCCAATTTGGATTTTTTTTTTTTTTTTTTCATGTCTTGAGCTTGAACGTTATCCTCCTATTTATAGCCAATTCGCCTTATCCTCCTATTTATAGCCAATTCGCCGTATAGTGTATCACTTTTTTTGTTTTCTTTTTCCATTTACAGCCATTTTAATGTTCAATTTACATTGATTGAATTACAGAAAATTACAACATTTATTAAAAGATAGAGACTAAAAGAGTTGAAGCTAAGGTGGACAAGACTTGCTGATTACTAGGGGATTGCGACAAATTGACTCAAAGACTTCGACTTGATCAACAAAATGACGAAACACAATTTTTATTTGTTTTGTATATTTTTTCCGCATAGGTGTACCTTAGAGATTATAATCATGTTTTCTACAAGAAAGTCTACAAAGAGAATGGTTCTAATCTAAACGGTGATGTAAAAGTATTTCCACTATTCCAACACTAATCTCAACATAAACGAAAATAAACAAAAAGCTTACAAGAAACGCATGCCCGGGGAACTCCACCGTCCTAAAGCGTGTAGAGATGCCTAAAAAATAATTAGAGGTAAACAAATTTATTTCTGGCCTAAACATCAAAATAGCATACAATAGTTCGTCTTAAGTTGTGGAGCTTAGTATTCTAATGACATGTAATTATTGTCTTACGCAACGACAGTACGTAGATTGATAAAACACAGCTTGTAAATTTAGCTGCGCTAGTTTTTCTTCATAAAAAGTGCACCATATTTAGTGTTTATTAGATCGTGGTTAGAGAAAATATAGAGTGGTTAGAGGTGTGCCATTTTTTTCTTAAGAACTCTTTCGTCATAGTGAATGTGTTTTAAAGTGGATATAACTCTCATATTAAGAGTAGTAGACCACTATAAATCTGTATATTCTTATTTATTTAATTTTCTTAATTAAGTAATATTTATTACTTTTATCTGTAAAATTAGCGCATCTAATTCTTAACACTTCGAAATTCCTACGATAATTTAGAAGAGAGTCACACAACCAAAAAAGAGATCCACTCCAATATCAGCTCTAAACCACTTACTGAAGCATTACGCAACTATCATTGTAACAGCAACAATGATCACAATAGTTGTGACTTCAAACTCAATCATAAAGCAGTTAAATAACAGGGAAAAAAAAGAAATACAAATAAAATAAAATCGAGCAAAAGTTGACTCACTTTCATTATGTTGGAGTCTAATCTTACTTCAGTTTGAGAGCTAAAGAGGGAGAGAGTCAAAAGCCTATGTAAAAGGAGCCTAGAGCCTTTGTCTCAAATGATCACCCTAGTCTGAAGCATTTCAAATGATTCTAGTTAAATTCCTTTTTGTTTATCTTATTTTGAGAGTAGAAGTTTTCTTAGGGTCGGACCAGCGTCAAATAGTGTAAAACAACTGTGGTTTTTTTGTTTTTGTTTTTTTGTTTGTTTTTCCTTCTAATGAACGCATTCAATAATGTTTAGAAACTAAAAATTGTATTCTCTGTTTATTTCAACTAAGATTCAAATCATAGTTCAAAATTTAAATTAATGTTTAATAGAGGATAATTCAAACCATTAACAATAGTTTAAACTTTTAGATTATAAAATTCACCACCACTTAAATTCTAACAAGAAAAATGCTAAATACAGACTCTATTATAAACTCTGTTATAAACTCTAACTTAATTTTTTGACACGTAGCATCTCTATTTTCTGAAAGAAGTGCTTAATAACAAATAAATCCTTTTACACTTATTTACAAGAGTGCCATTATTCACATTTAATATAAGAGAGTAATTTTTTTTAATTCTTTGTCTATGATTTTTTCTTTTGTGTTTTTTTTTTCTCGTTTTAAAGCCATCAATTGTCTTTTCTTTTTTCTTTTCTTTTTCCTAATGTATATATGTTATACTTTATTCATGATGCAAATAATTTGATCCAGATTTTTTTTCTTTGTTGTTTGTGGTTTTGCTTTTTTATTTTTTTGTTTTGCAGGTTTTCATTTCTCTTTTCATTTTGAAAAGTCATGTTAAATGTGACTTGTAAATAAGTTTAGCATCATATCTGCAAGTCTCCTTTGTTTTTCTTTTTTGAAAAAAAAAAAATTATTCTCTTATATTAAATGTGAGTAATGGCATTATTGTAAATAAATGTAAAAGGAGTGACTTATTATTAAACTAGTTTGTTTTAGTAAATAGAGATAACGTGTGCCAAAAGATTAGGCTAGAGCTTGTAACAGAGTCTGTAATAGAGTATGTATTTAGCATTCCCCATTCTAACAATCTTATTTGTTTTTTATAGTGAAAACAATTCTGATTTTACTTTTTTTCTCTCTTCAATTTTAAGCTTAAAAATATTATAACTTCTTTGTTTTAATTCCGTTTGAGATGATTTTTTTAACGTGTTCGTAATGAAGAGAGGAACAAGTCCCCATCTATATTGCATATTTTTAGATGTCATTTACAATGAGATTTTATAAGATTTGTCACAAAATTCTAATGATAGTTTTCAACACTTTATCGAAATACAGTTCGGATTTTATTCTTAATTTAAATTACAATTTATTTGTATATCTAAACACCGCTTTGAATCACAATCAATACACCAAAACTCAAATCAAATCAACAATTTAAATCGTTAATAAGGCCCTAGATTTTCTATTAGACACGGCGTTCTTCCCTTAGCAGAGTTGTTTGAATATTATTCAAGAGAAGAGATATGTAAACTTCAAGTTGTATTTTTTCTCTCCTTACAAAAACAAAGTTATGGTCGTGAGTGACAACTAATAACACTGTGTATTTAAAGGATTTTCCTATATCAAAAAATAATTAAAATTTTCGAAGTATCAACATTACCCTTCTCAATATATACTAAATATTTCTTAAAAAACAAACATATATATATATATTAAATAGAGTTAAATTCATCTGAGATCTCTGTACTTTTTTTTCTTTTTATAATTAGTCTTTGTACTAAAAAGTGTTCCAATTTAAGTCCTAACTTTTTTAAGTGTCTCAAATTTAGTCCATCAATTACATTCCGTTAAATTTTAAATGGAAAATGTTAACATATTAATAGTTAAGCTATAAACAAATGAGGAAATACCCTTTCCCTCCATTTCCTGCAAAAAGGACATTAAAACTCCAATTCATTTGATAAAAAGTTCACACATGTAAATTCATCAACAAAAAATCAATAAACAGATCAATTCTAGTCGTTGGACACTCCTCCTAGTATGGATGAAGCTATTGCAATTTCCAAAGCACGTCTTATTATTATCCATTTCCTATTATAAGTGTTTTTTGCCCTTTTGGCTTTTCACATTTCTTGTCTGAGATTATGTGAATTTATCTGTACTTGATGCTATTATCCAGGTTTTGCAACTTGTTGACTCACAAGAATACAGCATATTTACTCGTATAGTTTTCGATACTGCAGCCACGGTATGAGAATTCACTTGTTTTCAAAGCCACTTTACTTGATAAACCTTTTAATCTTAAAGGATGTTTAGTTGGAGGATTCAAATTATGATTTGAATCATAGTTCATGATTTGTTACAGTATTTTCTCTCACAAAAAATACATGTAAATCGAAAATGATTCTAATCACATGATTATAATCCATGAACTAAACGTCTCCTTATTCATAAATTGGTGGTAAGGTCATACACTTCGGCTTCTTTGGCTTCCCGACCATATATATATATATATGGATGCATCTATTGACAAAACGATGAAGGTACGAATCTTACTTAGATTCTACAATCTAAGACTAATTTGGCGCAATTTTGGTCGTTTATCATGGTATTTTGGATCATTTATGATAAAACTATGATATGCCTATTCTTTGAAAGGAAATTACAAGATTACCCATAATTTTCCATCTAAAATTTTACAAAATGGAATTGAGGGACTAAATTTGATACACTAAAGAGTTCGATGTTTAAATCGAAACAATTTCCAATACAAGGACTAATTATAGAAAGAGAATAAAATTTATAGACCTATCATGAATTTAATTTCATTAAATATCATTTAAAACATTAATGAATCAAAATAAACACAAAAGGTTAAACTTGGTATTTTTGATAGATCACTACTAAGCATTTGAATAATAAGAAAGGATGGAAATGACATTTTAACTAAATACAAAGTTGTTTAATTTTATCTAATAAAGTAAATAATATCATTCAGGCACCCAAAAAAAAAAAGAGGCAAATAGTCTTTTTTTAAAGGTTTTTTTAAAGATAATAGTCAAAATTTTGTAAAATCAACAAAATGGTTAATCACTGATTGATTAACGGTCAATCACTGATTGTTTTAATTTTATTGCTGATTAACTTGATAGTTTTTTATTATTAGTTAGTATTAGTTAATAATTAGTTGAAATTAATTAGTAATTAATCGATTTTAATCAATAAATTATGTGTATATTAGTAATAAATTATTGATAAATTATAATAATTAATAGGTCATGTTGACTTTCGGTCAATTCAACTACTAAAAAAAAGTCATTTTGTTAAAATAAAAAATGTTCAGCTACTTATGTAAAATATAAAAAATTCGACCATTTATTGAAAAAGATGGTTAAAAAACAGCTATTTACGTAATTTTCTCAAAATGTAAAAGAAACATAGAAAGAGAAGTAGGGTCTGATATTTGGCGGCCGTCGCTTATAAAGTTGTAATTCTGATTTGTGTCGTTTGAAAGCTTTGAAGCTTGTTGTTAGCAGCTCCAATGGAGATCGTCTGTCCAGTTGACGCACAGTTCGCCGACGTAATTTATGCTCTTCTCTGTCCACCTGCACCTCTCCAAGCTCAGGTAAACTCTCTCTCCTCTCTATGTTTCTTTCTCATTCCATTTTATTGGCAAAAACGAATTCTGAATTCCCTTTTTCTTTTGTTATTTGGTAAAATTCAGGGGTATTTCGACCAGCTTATATCCAAGAGGCAAACCCGTGGTATCAAAGTCGAACAAAATGGAGACTTTGGCAAAGGTGATCTTTCTTCTTCTTCTTCTTTACTTTTTTTTTTTTTTTTTAAATAATAATTTGGTGGTGACCCATATTCTTATACATTATTAAAGGCGTGTTTGCGGATAAGGAATTCAAAGAAGGGGAGCTTATATTGAAGGACCAAATGCTTGTGGGCGCTCAACATATCGCAAACAAGGTCTTGTACTTTTACATATCGCAAATTTCCCTTTTTTCAATTTCCTGAAGAAAAAAGTGCATATTTTCCATTTGCTTAAAGTTAAAAGCATGATTTTTTTTTATTTAATTTAGTTATATTATATGCAGATGGATTGTTTAGTATGTAGCTTCTGCTTTCGTTTCATTGGCTCAATTGAACTTCAAATTGGGAGAAAACTTTATCTGCAACAATTGGGAGTTTCAGTGAATCACGATGAATGCGACATGGAAGTGGAAGAGGAAGACAATTTCGCAGATGGAGGAGAAGAGGATGACTCATCTATGGAGAATGGTGAGGACTCTGGTGCTTGCGCTTCAACAAGCAGTCATAGAAACAAAGTTGAGCTTCCAAGAGGGCTTGTGGAGTCTCTCATAAATGGTGAATTGAAATTGCCTCTTACCGAAAACTTCTCTTTGCCTCCAGCAATTCCTTGTGCTGGGGGTTGCGGGGAAGCTTATTATTGCAGGTAAAGCTAAAACTTTGTTGAAGAAAACTGTTGTGCTTTTGTTGAGACTCAAGCTGTTGAATATACGTTCATTTTGTTAATAATGTACCCTTTTGTGGTTTTTCTGTCTTGTGCATTGAGGTTAATTCGTGTCTTTGCTTCCTTATCATAAAGTTGTGATTTTTTTTTCAAGGTTCTCTGTCGAATACATGTTCATTTTGCTTTATACAGTTTGTAGTTTTTCTGTCCCGTGCATTGAGATTTATACTTGTAATAACGTTGGCATCTTTTTTTAATAGTTTTTATGTTGAATACCTGCATTTTGTTGTACAAAGATGTACCCTTTGTTAGTTTTTCTGTCTTGTACCTTGAGATCTATTATGCTTCCTTATGCTAAAGTTGTGATTTTTTTTTCAAGTTTTTCTGTTGAATACACATGCATTATGTTGTACAAAGATGTACTTTTTGTAGTTTTTGTGTCTTATACATTGAGATTTACCCTTGTCTTTGTGATCCCTTGTGATGACGTTGTCAAGTTACTTTCCAGTGTTTGTATTGAATATATCTGCATTAGGTGTACAAAGGTGTAAACTTTGTATTTTTTTTCTGCCCTGTGCATCGAGTTTTTTCCTTGTCTTTGATTCATTGCGATAATGTTGTGAACTTTTTCTAGCAAATTGTGTGCACAATCTGATTGGGAAACTTGTCATTCCTTGCTTTGCACCGGTGAGAAGTCGGAATCAGTATCAAGTGAGGCACTTGGGGAATTTATACAGCATGCTAATGGTAAGACTCGCCTTCTCTGTTATCTGTGTCCAGACTTGTTTTCCGTGTCCTATATTGCCTTTTGTTCTATTTCCTCTTTTTTTTTTTTTTGTGTTCCTTATTTTTATCATTGTTTAATTGACCAGAAACAAATGATGTATTCCTGCTTGCTGCGAAGGTATGTCGTAAAGAAATAGGGTAGAAGATAGTAACTCTTGAATATACACCCGTTTTTAATCTTGTTTATCCTTACGGCATAATTTTGAAGTATGTATTTTATGATGGTAAGATTTTGTGTTTGTGAAAAGGAGTCGAAGGACGTTAGCAAAATGATTAGCAGAAATCAGCATTTTATATGCTTATTTTCTTCATTTAGCTTGTGTTGTGATATGGTATCTTCATGATAATAGTAAATTATAAATTCCAGGCAATTGCGTCTACTATATTAAGAAATAGGAAGTTGAAAGCAACTTGTCTTGAAGAACGAGGGAAACTCAAAAATGTTTTAGGCCGTACAGTTTCCTCTGCACTCTTTGAGGCGTGGAAGCCGTTATCGATGGCACACAAGAGAAGGTAGTTATTTGCTATTGTGTTCTCTCTGTGCTTTGTCCTAAAGCCTGAGCTTAACTATTGCTCACGGTGCGTTATTTGCTCACTCAAAAAGGAAAAGAAAAAAAGGGCTCTTATTGCTGATGAGAATGCAATATCTGCTATCACTCCAACTTTCCTTTATGCAGTATGATAATATTCACTTCATTTATTTATTTATTTTTTGCATCCGTTTTTCTATTCCTCCATATTTTCTTACATTTGAGTGATTTTAGGTGGTGGGACTGCATCGCATTGCCATTTGATGTTGAATCTTCTGATGAAGAAGCATTTAGAGCACAAATAAGAAGCCTTGCATTCTCGGTATAATATTTCATGGCAATATCTTGCGATCAAAGCTTGTCACTGTCTAACATAATGCTGTCCTTTAGTGGGAGAGCTCCTTTCTGTCGCCTGACTGCTGTCGCTCAAAATTTTGATAATGCATGTTCATTGTGCTATTATGAGAGCTAACCGTTATGTTTCTTATGCTTTTCAGTCACTTCAGCTACTAAGGGCAGCCATTTTTGACAATGAATGTGAACCATGTATCCATCCTAGAGCAAAAAAAAATATTTTTCATTTGTTTTCTTGATGTAACCAATTTTCTTAATTCTTTCTACATTTTTAAGATAAAAGTCCTTGACTCCACAAAGTATTCTCTCTCGAAATATATGGCCACATAATTGGCATGTTTGAGTTGAATAATCTGTAAGAGTTACACCTGATCAAGATCTCTCTTTTTTCATTACTTCAGAAATATATTTGCAGTGGCATTGCTAATTGATTAAAGAATAAATGTGGTATCATAGATATAGTAAAATTATCTTATGTTTGTATGTTCAGTGATTTGGTCGTAGCATCTCCAGTGGAGGATTATTTCTTATACATTGATGACCTTCCATCTCCTGAAAAGGTGAGAGCATATATCCTTGTAGTTCAGCTTGCTTGTATGAGACTGAAGTTATGTTGCCCTTTCCCTAATACCATTAATGGCAGAATAAAGCTGAAGAAATTACAAGACCAATTTTGGAAGCTCTTGGTGATGACTATTCAGTTTGTTGCCAGGGTACAATATTATTTTCATTGCTTTCTCAATACCACATCATTTATGTCTCCATAGTTATTTTTCAGGTTGTCTGTATGTTCATTTTCCTCATAGCAGCAAGTCAGCCAAAAATTAATCTTTTCATTTTTCTTTCAGGCACGGCATTCTTCCCCTTGCAAAGTTGTATGAATCATTCTTGTTGTCCAAACGCAAAAGCATTTAAAAGAGAGGAGGTATAAGAACTTGAATTTGTATTTTTTTTTTCACTTATAATAACAGAGTTCTGGTTGTGAGTGATAGCAAACACTAACTCTATTTAAAGGATTTTCCATCTGTGATATGGTATTAGTGGAATATGAGATATAAGCCAACTGCAGCAGGCATATTAGTCTACAAAGAAGTGTTGGATAGGCTCATGTCGTCAAATGCAATACTATCAAGTGCTTAACGATAACTGTGGTGTTTGGTTCATAGATTCAAATCATGTTATTAGAACTATTTTCGACTTACGTGTATTTTTTGTGAGAGAAAATACTGTAGCGAACCACGAACTATGATTCGAATCAGGGAACGAATCTAGGTACCAAACGGAAGGATATAGGTTTTTTTATCAAGTGACTACTTTCATTTTCCATTCTCTGTTGCAGGACAAAGATGGTCAAGCAACGATAATTGCACTTAAACCTATTCACAAGGGAGAAGAGGTGAGTGAGATTTTGATAATTGATGTTTTCTTATTCAAATGCCTATTGATTATATATGTTCTAAAAGTGAAAATCCGTCATATGGGCTCTTTCGCAGTTGTGTTATTTGATTCTCCTATTTGTTGAGCTTTGCATTATTTTCTGCTTCAATCCATTTGTAGGTTACCATTTCATACGTAGACGAGGAGCTTTCATTTGAGGAGAGACAGGCATTACTTGCAGATTATGGCTTTCGTTGCAGATGCCTGAAATGTTTGAAAGAAGAGTCATAAGATAGCTATCCAATAAAGCACTACTTAAAACATACTTGAAAGAGGCTATAGAACAAAAATCGAGGCATACAAGTTAAAGAGTAAGCTCACTTTGCACAAATTCAAGCGTGAAAGAGTTAAAAAATGAAGAGTAAGCGCCTTAAGAGAGAATCAAGTGCAAATTTTTGAACAGTCTGTAACTGCTAATCACACATTGAGTTTTCGTTTCAAAAGTTGTGACTTCTTGGTGAGCAAAATGGTAGGCATGACTGGCTTTTGTTTTTCTTCTTGTAATGGAGCTTGTTTTGTGCTTTGAGAGGATCAGTTGTAAGAGGGAAGATGATTGTTAATGACTCGAAAAACAACTATATTTTACTGTCCGACTGCCTCTTTCTAGGAACGAATGAAAACGACAACGTTTCTCAAAAAAGAAGGGGGAAAAAAAGAGAAAAAGACAACGGCTTTCCTTTGGTAGGAAAACTAGAAACAATATTTAGGTTCACTGGGGTGGATAGTAATAATACTAAGAGAAATTCTGAAAGAGAAAATATATATTGTAAAAATTAAGAATATGAACTTTTTTTTTTTTTTGTTTTTTTTTTATGGGGTAAGAAACGTCATTTAACAATATGCACTTTAAAACGTAGCATTGTTTTGTTTTGAATATGATAAATTTTGAAAGTACGTCAGTTAAATCTGATTTAACATAAAAAAACGTTTACAAATATTTGATTGATTTTTCAACACTTAATATGATAGAAATCTCAACACTGTCTAGTGATGTTCAAATGAGATTGAATCTATCTTAATTGGTATTATAAGATAGTTGAATATAATTGTGTAAATGTTACATATATGTTTGTTGATCGCTTTCTTGTATCTCTATGAAAAGAAAACTATGAATTCTTCAATCATTTAATTGAGATTGTTGTGGTACGTTAAAAATAGGTGAATATTTCATATCATATCATCATGATAACTTATAAACCAATATCATATGAATAATAAACAGCTGTTAAATTGTTTTTTATTTTATTTTTAGAATTGTTACAATTGGTTTATAAATACATAGATTCTACTATATTTATATATATGTGTATATATATAATACACCTCATCAGATATTTGCAACCTTAATAAGTACGGTTTTTAATTTTTATGTCAAAAAATGTAAAAGACATTTGTACTCTATTTGAGGAAAAAAAAAATTAGAAATAGCAACAAATAGCATTTATAGGAACATATGAGCAATAACGAACGGGAGGGCTCAGCAGTTCTGGAAGAACAGGTACTCAAAGAATTTCTGAATTTTCTTGTGTAAAATAACTACCGCAAAATAACTACCGCAAAATATGCCAATTGATTGATTAATTCTATCGCCATCTCAAAAATCAAACGATACCCACATGCAACATCTCCTCCTCAACCCCATTCACGTCTATATTCTCATCGTCAACCTCGTACTGCAAGAAAAAAAAAATTAAACTATGTAAACGAAAATTTCTGAAACGTAATATGACATTTCAATGTGATGGCCACATAAACCATAAACCTAAAACATAGAAGAAACAAATATCAGATCATGATTTTCAAAGGAAAAAAGTGTGCAACTAAGAAAGCAGGAAGAATAAATGGAACCAGTGATGGAGTCAGCATTTCACTTTAATAGATGCGTATATTAAATTTTTTTTAATAAATTATCTTAATGGAACATATAAGAAAATATATTTATTTTAACGGAGACATATATTATTTCAATGAAAGTTTAAGTGTAAAATTTTAAAAATTTTGAAGGTAATATTTTTTTAAAAAAAAATTTGAATGGAAACGGTAACTACCATTGAGTTATACTTAAATCCGTCACTGGTCATGAAAATGAACTCCAGTAGAGTGATGGCATGAGACAATTGGAGTGATGAGAATGGGGGACCAAGAACCAGAGAATGTTCGTGATCAAATGCGGAGGATGGTGTTTAGGAAGACGAAGGTAGAAGCATAGCAAACGAGAGAAGGCATACAAAAATTGACATCGGTATTCCGGAAGAATGCATCGTCTTCAACTCTCTGAGAGGAAAAAGCTGCCCAATTTTGAATGATTTAGGAGAATTGAAACGAGACCCTATAGAAGAGGGAGAAGGAGGAGGCCAGGGGAGGGAAAACGATAAAGATATCGGAACTTTTTCTTTTTTAAAAAAAAAATAGAGTATAGAATTTTACTCTTTATTCTCAATAAATACATACAATACTAATTTGATTAAAAACGTTATTAAAAAAATAAAAAAATAAAAATTTTTACTTATATACTTTTAAAAAATATTTATTAAAATTATTCCTTTTTTCGGCTTTTTCCAAGGCCCACAATAAATTTTATGTGGAATGAGATTCTAACATATAAGTTGTGCTATGTGTGCAATAAATTAACGAAATCGGGGATGACTAGTTATAATACAGTCATAGTGGAGAGGATCGTCTTTTTGTCCTTTTTAAACTATTAAGTTAATTTCAAATTTAACCCCAAAGTATAGAGGTTGTCTTATTTTTCCCCTAAAATTACGTATAAGTAACCCTTGAGCTTATCAGAAATTGCAACTTTTACACTTCCATCAATAAAACGTTAATTTTTTAATAGTTTTGAACACGTTTGGGTCCTGAAATCTAGCTCTAACCACACGATAAGATGCTTGTCTGCCGTGACTTATCATTAATCAATGTTCAAGTGTGAACGTTGTTATATATTGAATGACAAAAAATTCGAATTAGATATATGTGGGATTCAAATTTTCTGTTTAATTTTAATGTTTTATTGGTATCTAACCAATCATATCATACCACATTATATAAAAAAATTTAAATTGCTTTTTAACTAAATTTTGTGTGTTTATTATAAGATGATGTGGTAAAATTTAATTAGGTGGAAACTAATTAGAACACTAAAATTTAGATAGAGGATCTAGATCTGTATTTATCTTGCAAGTACTCTCCATGAGTAATGTTCATTAACACCGTTAACTTCTTTCGACGTTTTTGTTCACGTTTATACCTTCATTTGATCTTTCCATTTATACAAATGAGGCTCAATTTATTATTCAACTCTTGTGCTAATTTATTATTTATTACAACTGCGCCATTTGACAGCTCACATGTATCAATGGTTTGGATCCGCATTGGAACCGATAGAACTATATAATGTATGCAACTGTTGATGGACCTTACTGGTCTCATTTTCTCGATAACAATTGATAACTTTAAACATTTAAGATCTTGTTTGGTTCTCGAGTTTAAATTGTGGTGATTTGAATCCTTTTATTTTGCACTATAAAATCTAAATTGTGTTGATTTAAAATGCGATTAAAACCGATATTTAAATACCCAAGTACATTATAACTTGAATTGAGAATAAAACATGGATTGTATTTGGATAAAACGCTAAAAACTATAATTAGAGTTTTGCGATAATTCTTATAAAACCTCATTTGACATATTTAAATATGCATTCTGGATAGACATTTGTTCATCTCTTTAATATCAACACATAAGAAAAAATAAAATTTTCTTAATTAAAGTTGACACAAAAGAGTCATGACATCTTTAAATTTGAAATTAAGAAGAGAGAAAAAATAAAAAAAACAATTGTTTTTGAACTGTTCGTAACAATCGATTTGTTGACTTGGCCGATGGGGATCAATTCCAAGATCAATCACTTAAATAATTCAATTGTAGTTGCTGGTTCGGATGATCTTCCTTACTTCTATACTAAATTTTTTTTTTTTTTTCAAATTTCTAATGTTTTATTTTTTGTCGACATTTTTAGAAAATATAAAATATGATCCTTTGACCATATCATCAAGATGTATATTTTTTTTCTCGGAATTTTTTATGGTTTGCTAATATTTTTTAAGAAAATTGTTTACCGCCTAATTTTTTTTTTCTTTTGTTTTTTTGTTTTTTTTTTAAGCAAAGCATAAGGTATTTTGATACCCTTAATTTTCAAAATTTCATATAAAATGTCCTCAGTGCCCTCGTGAATAAATAGCTTCTCATGTGAAAGCGTAAAAATAGGTTTATTGTCTTAATAATATCTTATCTTTTGTCATATTTTATCCATAGATTGAATAAGTTCATAAAAAAGGAAGACAGAATCAATAAAATAAAATTCTTACAAGTGGATCCTTTGGATGATGAACAACTATAGATGCAGTTACTCATATAAAATGCTATCAACGACCTACCATTGTGTATTGGTACTTATCGGGTGTAGAATAAATCTGCTTCTTTTTGTTCCTACCAAAATCCCTTGCAATACCAGGCAAGCTTCAATTGGAAAAGAAACTTCACTCTAAACTTCAATTTGAAAACCAAAAACGAAATAAAATAAAATACATAATTCGACTTTGATACCCTGACGTCGTTCACTTTGCGGATTCGAGTTTTCAATTCGAATTGAGATGTGACATTTTCTAAGAGTTTTTTACTGTAACAAAAAAAGTTAAATGTGACATTTTCTGAGAACTTTTTACTGTAGAAACCTAAAACTGAAAACTCGAATCGGTGAAATAAACGAAGCTTTAATTTTCAAATTTTCATATAAAATGTCCTCGGTGCCCTCGTGAATAAATAGCTTCTCTACCAAAATCCCTTACAATACCAAGCAAGCTTCTATTGAAAAGGAAACTTCACTCTAAACTTCAATTTGAAAACCAAAAACGAAATAAAATAAAATACATAATTCGTGAAGAAGCAAAATTAAATTCCATTACCAAAAAGAAAAGAGAAAATGGGTAATATGATTGCAGGGAAAGTCAGCTGGCTAACTGTAAAAAAATAAAAAAATAAATAAAAATTAAAAAAAAAATCCATCTTACTAAGCCCAACTTATCTGTACATCCTCGGCCAACAATACTTTCTACTAAATTATAAAAATTTAAAATGACTAGCAAAATATACCATTAAAATTCTATCGCCATCCCAAATATCAAACGATGTCCACCTGCTCGATCTCCTCCTCGACCACATCCACATCTATATTCTCATCGTCACCCTCGTACTGCAAGCAAAAACTATGTAAACAAAAATTTCTGAAATGTAATGATAGAAAATGTGTGCGCGCGTTCTGGAGCCCATTTATGACATTCAATGTGATGGCCACATAAACATAGAAGCAACAAATGTCAGATCATGATTTTCAAAGGAAAAAAAAGTGTGCAGTTAAGAAAGCAGGAAGCATAAAACTTGAACAAAAGAAATCGTGTTCGATAAAACATACAAATACTGACCTGTGAATAACTATTTTTCAAGATCGGAAGAGGTGGCGGAAGTGGCAAGCCGTTTGTCTCATTCTCAACTCCTGTAGAAGCAGTACCAACCACCCCAATATTATCCTCCAATTCAATTTCAACTTCATCAACTGCATGGGCAGCCATGCTGGTCGATGGCAATACATGCCTTGAATCCAAGCTCTTTAACTGCAAATTTGCTTGCACAAAGGATTATAACGTGTTAATACAAGGAAAATGCAAGTAACAACAGCTCACCACCTTTTCATTTTTTTTTTTTTTCATTAAATCCTTAAGAGATGCGCAGAAAACCAGCAGGATCTGGAATGGAGGAAAGGACTATACACATAACGACTTAAAAACAATAAACATTTGAATTTGTCAAGCGTATTTCAATAGCTACGCAATCAAATAAAGAGAGTGTATCCATGACCATCGTCATATTTATTTAAGGGTTCTCCTTGCCTAAAAGAAATTCTTGAGAAGTTGGCCTCATACCACATCGTCAATAGGTGCGCAATCAAATAAAGAGAGTGTATTCATGCTACCTAATGCATTGCAGTTTTAGTTGCTAATTGGTCTAACAAAAGATTATGCCAACTAGTTAAATAGAGGGAAAATGAGTTCATAACAAAAGAGTAAAAGATGCACCTTATCCGTAGAGAGGACATTGACAATCTTTCTGCTCTCATGCTTGCCTTCATTTCCAAGGGCGCTTGACTGTCCATTTCTGCTGGCAACTGCCTCAATCTCCTTCTCGCAATTTAACTGAGCGGGAATATTCCAACGAGAAACTTTCTTCAATCTGACTGGTGCATCCACACGTGCTTTTGTTAAATCAGCTGGTACATGGTGAAATGTCAGCATCCACAATAAAGACCATTTAGAGAATCACAAGCCACATATCGTACATTATCACAAATAATTTGGGCCATACCTAAAAAGTAATCCTGCGCTAATTCAATAACAAGCACGTATGGTAATTAAAATCTCTAGGCTACTAAAAGGGATGTGCACATACACACATGAAGTGAAACATGGATCAGTAATACAACGTTGAAATAGTAATATTTATTTTTGTTGGCTAGAAAGTTGAAAGTTACTTTACTCCAAGTCACCAACTAGTCATCTACCAACTAAAAGATTCAAAAACCTTCCTCAGACGGTAAAACTTTTAGAGGCTTTTATGCTAAACCCACTTCCCCACAACCCGGGAATGAGGTTCAAAACTTGAAAGAATTTCCACATCGATATACCCCAAAGTCACAGAAAACTAACTACAGTGAATGAGACATTAGAGATTGCATACAATAGAAATTTTTACAAATGATTACTATTATAAAATAGTATAGTAGAAAACCTTGAATAAACTACCACCTTGTTTTGATTCTTTGAGAGACTGACTAACGTCCTGCCTCACGTTGCTTTGGAAGGCACCATTGTGCTGCTCATTATGTGCACTGACAGGAAAACCGGTAGCCTCTCCATCACTAACAATATTTATGCTTGAATCCTCTTCATTAGCACCAATTTTGTTGATATCAGAGGCAAGCTCATATCCCAACTTATGAAGCCGAACTTCTGATCTATATATTCAATTATTCAATTACATCACAAGTCCGTAACTCAACTACCTATCATGTTTACAATACCAGACATGCGCCAAAAAAAAAAAGAAAAAAAAAAAGAAGAAGAAGAGAGAGAAGTATTGAAGCATTGAACGAAATAAAAAAGGACAGAAAACTTACCTCTTCAGCTCATCTTGAATCTGTGTATAACGATTATGTGCCTTAACAAACTTGTTGATTTTGGACAACATCCTGATTACGATCATAGCTCCAGGAAAGGCAAAACCTCAGTGAAACATTAAAGGATAATGGAAAGAAAGAATGACAAATTTTGTATATGACAGCGTTAAACCTTTTATTTTCTTCTCTCTCTCTGTATAGTTGAGCCTCAAGCTCCTGAATTTTGGAAGTAAGGCTGTCAACTTCTTGAATCTTCTCCTCCAGTTTGACCTGTAAACAACATACTTCTGTCATTTCCTTATATTGGTCATGATGCGGAGTACATATATCTACATAAAAGACCCCAAAATCCCCTATGATATCTTGAATCCAGCACCATAAAGCAATGTGTGAACAAATAAGAGTAACATGACAGATGTTGACAATACCAATATACCATACATCATTTTCACTGACCATGTAACCAAAAACAGGATTGGCAAGTTACTACTTCCTTTATGAAATTGAATGGAATACATGTATCTACATCAAAGACCCCAAAATCCTCTATGATATCTTGAATCCAGCACCATGAAGCAATGTGTGAACAAATAAGAGTAACATGACAGATGTTGACACATGCCATGATTAGTGATTCTAATACCAATATACCATACATCATTTTCACTGACCATGTAACCAAAGACGGGATTGGCAAGTTACTATTTCCTTATGAAATTGAATGGAAAAATTTACACGTCATAACCAAAAAGTCATTCTGTTTTTCAGAGCTGAAACTGACCCCAAGTTGAGATTTCTGGTAATCAAGCCTCTCAATATCTAGCTCCACTTGCTTTAACTGCACATAATCACAGAAACAATAAATAAAAATATGGAAATTTTCAGATGAAACTAGAAGTCTATCTGCAATGAGTTTAGGATAAAGAACTATAAAGAAACTTTTAAAACCTGCTTCACGAGAACCACTCTTGAATCAGTTGTAAATTTTCCCCCTTTAGCCTGATGTTCAGCAGCATCTGAGATTCTCAAACTTCCAGAGATATCACTTTGACCATCTAACCGCTGTTTTTTCTTATGTTTCCTGTCACTATACATATTTAAAGTCAGATTATGTGCACAACATTCTGGAAAAACAACATCAACCGGAAAATATTTAGAAAATCAGAAGGAAAGGAGATTGTAATATGCTCTATTGACCACTAAAACTGATAAAATAAGGCTTCTGCTCAATAATCATGAAGTGAAATAGCACTAAAAAGTTAAAAGCAATCAGAACTGTGCTGGCTTCCAGTGAAGTTGCCACGATAAAAGGAATCTCAACTAAAGGAATTTTATGTACCAGGTTCGTGTGTCTAATTCTACATGTTCAAAAGAACTTTGTCAATACATAGTGCCCCAACATTAGTTGACATTAACATGTTATTTATCTCTAGGTTAACTATACATATAGACATCAAGAAGCATACACAAGAAATTGGCTCTAAAGCGTGCTATGCGGTAACGCTGTGCTATTGACTACTGGTCTGAGATACGGTTAATAATAGGAAGAGATTTTTAGGTGATTGTGTGATCCCTGATTAGGGATTTGGTGAGCTCTATATTTTCTGGTTAGAGATATTTGTAGATAGGTTGTTCTGATTTAGTTATTATTTAGCTCATGGCCGTGTATTATATAAGTGTGTATACCGATTATACAAATAATAAAAAAATTCATTCCAAATTTCATCATTGTGGCATGGTATCAGAGCCCTAGGGCTTTTCCTGGGGTATTCGGTTTTTCTCAGCCTAGTGTTGTTTCTGATTCAAGCGTTCTTTTCGGTCCAAATTGCTACTCGCTTGTGTCATTTTTTTTCCCTTTCCTTTCTTGCTGATTCTTATTTTGCGAGTTTGATTCTTGATTTTGTGGTTCCCCTTCTTTATCACCCTTGAAATTCGTGACCTTTCTATGCAAAAGTCATGTCGGAAGTGACCAGCAAATCAACAGAGGTGCATGCATCCTCTCTAACTGAGAACAATCATCAGTCAACAGGGGATTTGCAGAATATTCAAGTAGCGTACAGGCTACTTGGTACTGGTCCTAAATCGGGGGATCCTAAATTTGATGCTTGGGACAAACAAGACTCCCTAGGAATGTCCTGGTTGTGGAATTCTATGCAGCCAGAAATCCGTGACACTTGTATGTGTCTGGGCACAGCAAAGGAGATATGGGAGGCTGTTAAACAAAATTATTCTAAAGTGAATGATGCTGCACAGATTAATGAAATCAAGACCAAGATCTCAGCCACAAAGAAAGGAAATCGGTCAGTTACGGAGTATTTTAATCTCTTGAAGGGTCTTTGGCAAGATATGGATCACTATCAATGCATTCAAATGAAGTGCAGCGATGATGCAGCCATTCTTAAGAGATTCGTTGAAAAAGGACGAATTTACAATTTTCTTGCAGGATTGAATGTGGAATTTTATGCATTACGAGTACAGATACTCAGAAAGGAGGATCTGCCGTCATTAAATGAGGCAATCGCAATCGTTCTTGCTGAAGAAGGCAGAAGAGGTGTCATGATTGAAACACACACAATGGAAAGTTATGCGTTGGTGTCAAAGGCTGCAAATGCAAAGTTTTCTGGTTCGGAACAGCGTGTGAATGAAGAATCGAGGCAGGCTGTTCAATCAAGACCATTTAACAAGGACTCCTTATGGTGTACATACTGCAAGAAGCATCTTCACACTAAGGAAAGGTGCTGGAAACTCAATGGAAAACCACCAAACATGAACAGAAATTTTGCAGACAAGAATATAAATGAACGGGAACAAGCTCATGTTGTCAGCACTAATTCAAGCAGTGAAGGACCACCATAGAATCCAACCCCTGAATTTAATAAAGAAGAAATTGAGAAGTGGAGGAATTTCTTGAGATCTCTTGACAAGCCATCCTCGGCAGGAACATGTTATTAGCATTTTCAGGTATATCTTCTTCCTCTTGTATTGCTAATGTCTCGGATATGGTTTCTCTAAACACATAGGTAATTGATTTCGGTGCCACCGACCATATGACTTGCTCTTTAAAAAATTTCATCTCATATATCCCTTGCTCTTTCAAAAATTTCATTTCATATATCCCTTGCTCTAGTCATAGGAAAATAACCATGGCAGATGGTTCTGTTACCACTGTAGCCGGACAAGGAGATGTTTATATAAACAGCTCACTCACACTGAAAATGTCCTTCATGTTCCCAAACTGTTGATAAATCTTGTTTCAATCCAAAAACTCACCAAAGATTCAAATTCAAGTGCGATGTTTTATCATTCTCATTGTGAATTTCAGGAACAGGACACTAAGAGGATGATTGGACATGCTAGTGAAAGAGATGGACTTTACTATCTGGAAGAACAAAATGGTCATACTAGAGTTGAGAGCTCCCTAACCATTTCATTCCTTTATGAGTCAGTTATTTCTAATAAAGACAAGATTTGGCTTTATCATCGTCGTCTAGGCCATCCATCATTTAGTGTTCTTAAGCTTATGTTTCCTTCGTTATTCAAAGGGTCAATTGTTGAGAATTTTCATTGTAGTGATTGTAAACTTGCCAAGCACAAGCGTATTTCTTTTCCAATAAGTAATACAAAAACGTTTGTTCCTTTCACTCTTATCCATAGTGATATTTAGGGATCATCCACGGTTGCTAATATTTCTAGTGCTAAGCGGTTTGTATCATTTATTGATGACTGTACTCGTATGATGTGGATATACCTTATGAAAAATAAATCTGATGTTAATTCAGTGTTTCCCAATTTGTATAATATAATCAAGACTCAATTTGACGTGGAAATTAAACGTTTTCAATCCGACAATGCCAGGGACTATTTTAACCAATTTCTTTCCCCATTTTTTCAAAAACAGGGAATTATTCATGAGTCCTCTTGTGTTAGCGCCTCAACAAAATGAGGTAGCCGAATGAAAGAACAGCCATCTTCTTGCTATCACAAGAGCATCTCTATTTCATAAAAATGTCCCAGGACAATATTGGGGAGAAGCCGTCTTAACTGCTGCCCATCTCATAAACAGGTTACCAACAAAAATTATTGACTTTAAAAGTCCCATGGAAACTCTCACAAAATTCTTTCCGAACTTCTGTGTCTCAAACAATCTTGTTCCAAGAATTTTTGAAAGTGTAGCCTTTGTTCATATTCACTCTCAAAAGAGGGAAAAACTTGATCCACGTGCTCTCAAGTGTATTTTCATTGGATATTCATCCACTCAAAAAGGGTACAAATGTTTTCATCCGCCCACAAGAAAGTTTTTTGTTTTTGCTGATGTCACCTTTAAAGAAAGTGAGTCATATTTTTCGCATTCCTATCTTCATGGGGAGAATTTGAGTGAAGATAGGGTTAGAGACTTGTTACTTCTTGATATTCCGATTCAATCTCAGTCCACCGAGTCTGTTCATTCCGAGTCTGTTTAGCAGCCATCCACTGAGTCAATTAAGTCAATTCTTGTTCCTGTCCAACCTAAATCTATCAAGTCAGTACCAGCTCAAAACACTACTCGGCCATTACAAGTTTATTCTAGGAAGCAAAAGGAAATCTCCCAGCCTGTGCATGTTTAATCACCTATTCAAGCTGTTGTTTCCTCACTTGCCCGTGCTGTAGAAACCACTACACAATCACCAAGCCCTGCCAAAACAGCCACACCACCACCAAGCCTTGCCGAGACCATCACACAGTCACTAGGTCCTAAGGAATCTGTTGAACCAAATGACTATGACCTCCGATTGCCCTTAGAAAAGGAACCTAAATCTGCACAAACCATCCATTATACCAGTTCATGTCCTATAAAAACCTATCCCAGAGTCATAGAGCCTTCCTGAGTAGCCTAGAAACAATTCCCATTCCCATAAACCTATCCGAGGCATTAGGAAATGAGAAGTGGGAGAATGCTATGAAAGTGGAGATGGAAGCTCTAGAGAAGAATAAAACATGGGACTTGGTTAGGTTACCCGATGGAAAGAAGTTAGTACGATGCAGGTGGGTTTTCACTGTTAAGTATAAGTCGTACCAACCAGCAGACATCATCTGGCTGGGTCTTGTCGGTATCAACAACAAGAAAAAAACAACCAAATGGAAACAACAACTAACTATGGCTCTTGGCCTAGACAACGTCCTAGGCATAGGGGAGATCGGAGCAATAGGGAACGGGAGTGAAAACAAACACCAATGCAGTAGAGAACGACCACATGAACGGAATCCACTTATAGAAAGACAGACACCCGAGAAAGAAAGGCTTCACGTTCTCCAAGTGGTTGATCTTAGCGTGCTAGCCGCTGTTCACATAGTAAGGGGAACTCTGGTTGCGCGGCTTTCTCTTATCGGATGGTTCCTTGAAGAGGTATAAGGTTAGATTGGTTGCCAAAGGCTACACTCAAACCTATGGTATAGATGACCTTGGAACTTTTGCTCCGGTTGCAAAAATGAACACGATACGGGTTCTTCTGTCATTGGCCACTAATTTTGAATGGAGCTTGCAACAGTTTGATGTTAAAAATGCTTTTTCCATGGTGATCTCGAAGAGGAAATTTACATGGAAGTTCCTCCAGGGTTTGAATCCAAAGAAGGAATGGTGTGCAAGTTGAAAAAGGCTTTATATGGGCTCAAACAGTCATCAAGGGCATGGATCGGGAGATTTACAAAAGTGATGACATCATTGGGATATAAACAGATTCAAGGAGATCATACCATGTTTGTGAAGCACTCGAAGTTAGGGAAAGTGACAGCATTATTGATATATGTAGATGATATTATACTGACAGGTAATAATGTAGAAGGAATGCAAAGCTTAAAAAAGTGTCTGGAAAAGGAATTTGATATCAAAGAACTTGGAAGGTTAAAATATTTCTAAGTATTGAAGTAGTGCATTCAAAACAGGGAATATTTATATCACATCAAAAGTATGTGTTAGATTTATTGAAGGAGACTTGAATGCTAGGGTGTAAGCCAATTAACACACCCATCGAGTTCAACCGTGGGTTATGTGATGTAGGTTCTTTAGTTGACAAAAGGTCAACTTCGGGTTATTGCACGTTTCTAGGTGGCAATCTTGTGACATGGAGGAGTAAAAAACAAAGTGTGGTGACAAGATCAAGTACGGAGTCAAAATTCAGGTCAATGGCGCTTGGAATTGTGTGAACTATTGTGGATCAAAATAATTCTGGATGATTTGCATGTAAAGTGGGAAGGACCAATGAAATTATATTGTGATAACAAGTCAGCCATAAGCATTGCACATAATCCAACACAACATGGTCGAACAAAACATATTGAAGTCGATCGACACTTTATAAAGGAGAAGTTGGAAAGCGGCTTAATCTGTACTCCATTTAATTCAGCCAAAGACTAGTTAGCTGATGTACTTACAAAGGGACTGCCGAGTACTGTCTTCCAGAATACTATCAGCAAGCTTGGAATGGAAGATATCCATTCAACAGCTTGAGGGGGAGTGTTGTGAGATACGGTTAATAATAGGAAGAGATTTTTATGTGATTGTGTGATCTCTGATTTTTAGGGATTTGGTGAGCTGTATATTTTCTAGTTAGAGATATTTGTAGATAGGTTGTTCTGGTTTAGTTATTATTTAGCTCCTAGCCGTGTATTATATAAGTGTGTGTACCAATTATACAAATAATAAAAAAATTCATTCCAAATTTCATCATTCGTGACAAATACAAAATTTCAAACTTCCTACAGCCTCATTCTGTGCTTCTTTGTTCTTTCATACTGAGTCATCATAATTAAACAAAAATACATAAAAATAAATAAGTAAATCCAAGACAATAAAATAGAACAAAACAAAACTGCAAAAGAAAAAGGAAAAGCAAAATTACCTTTCTCTATCACTGTCAAGGGATCCAGATCGGGAATATTCTGCAGTTTAATTTCCAGCAAAACGAAAAATAAAAATAAAAATAAAAAAGGGAAATAAGTATCATTAAATGATTAAGTGTTAATATCTAACCCTGAGTACTCTAATATAATAAATCAAATGTTATCAAAAGAAACAAAGAATTAGAATCCCAAGGTGTGCTTTGTTAGTTTTACACGGTAACATAACTAGAAATTGAGGGAGAAAGAAGTAACTAGATAAGGAAAAATGGAGAGAAAGTAACAATACAAAAACTAAAGGGGAAGAGAGAGAGAGAGAGAGAGTTGTAAGAATGCATTTCTACCGCGAACCATATTTCGCCCTCTTGCATCTCTCACTGGTGAATGTATTCTCCGTGGAGAATGCCTTCTGCCAAGCTTATCCCTCAAGTCACCATCTTCGAACTCCCGCCTTCCTACAGCCCAAAACAGAAAAAATTTCATAAAGCATATCCTAAAAAGATCAGTGTATCACTCACACAAAACACAGAGACAGTTATTAAGAAACAACAAGGCTACGCTTACCATTACATTGAACAACATGAGTAACATAATAATGAACAGAAATTGTGCCTCCTTGCCATTTCCAAAAGAACCATAGAAACTACTGCCGTCATATAATGAATGAATAGATATAGTAAGCCCAAGTTTTGAGCTTATACATTGAGATAACCTTCATAGATCAAAGATGCATTGAACAGAGAAAAATTGGCATTTCCATCTTGTTGTTGAGCAATAAGAATAATATACATGCTAGATCAATGATGAATTAAACAGAGAAGAATTGGCATTTCCATCTTGTTGTTGAGCAATAAGAATAATATACAAGCAGAATGGTCGAGATTTCTCCAAGAATAATATACAAGAATTGGCATTTCCATCTTGTTGTCATGATAAAAGTACCACCGGCACAAAATGCAATACAATTTCGTTTGCTCAGACAGTCTCCCATGACATCAACATCCTTTCTTCATCACAGGAATTCCTCGGTGTGTCATTCAATGAGAAGTAGTGAATAAAGTGAATACCACGATCCCCATGATTACAGAAAACGGGCAGAACTAGCTAATAAAGATTGGAATATGTGCCAAGTTGCAGGGGATCTTAATAAAATGGAAGATATATTCCTCAACAACCTAATTCTGAACCAAGATAACATATTGAAGATGCATTATGACGACAAAAGTTCGCTACAGAAGTACCACAATCAGACATAATTTAAGCAACCAGCAAAAATCCATCCTGAACAAACAATAACCCTGTTAGTCTTGATACGGCAAAATGTCTCTCAACAAGACATCTTGATAGCGTCTCTACACGCTGCACCCATAGACCTCAAATACACATATGCGTACTTATATGCTACAAACTGTATATTCCATGTTTCAGTCCTCCATATCATAATAATTTTTATTTTTCTATAACTCTTTGGGAAATTAAACCCAATTTTGAGCTTATTCATTGAGATATCTACGCAATTTTCCTAAGGGTCCCAAATCCAACTAAGTTATTTTTTTTTTCTTTTTCAATAATAACTCCAATGAAGAAAATAAGTTAGCACAAAAACAGAATACAAAATGCATTTCTAAGTAAAAAGTAAATAAAGAAACGCAAAAATTCGCCTGATAATAGGCACCGGTGACACGAGGAGCAATTTACCATGAAAAGAGCCAGAAAAATGCCGAAGCTCCGCGTCTCCATGGGCGAACGAGCAACTCTGACGCGAACACCTGCCTCTCTGATACAGTGCGCAGAGCTTCGTCTTGAAGAGTTTCCCTTCCACCATCGCCGCAATAGTAATAAAGCGAACAGCAAAAGTATTCTTCCGAAGAAAAAAAATCTAAAAATTTTCTCGGCGAGGGATGAATTCGAGTAGCAGATTAGAATCAGGCGAAGATTTGCAGCCACAAACAAACTAGCATGAGATAAATCCCTGGATTCTCTGCCAAACAAAAATGGCGAAAAGCACAAGCCGTTACTGAACAAAATCGATGGACGAAAAACCTATGCGATGTTTGGATGCTGAGAAAAGTGTGGGAAAGCGAGGGAGAATAATAGAATATGAAGTCTGAAGCTCGTAACTTTTTTTTTCCATGTATAATCCTTATTTTCCTTTGTTTTCTTCAGGTTTGTTATCAGAGAAAGATTATTACCTCGGTGAAAAGGACGAGAGAGATGGAGAGGTTGGGTTGACGAAGGCTTATTTTGGTACAGCTTTTTTCTCCTAAAATTAGCTTTAGGAAAAGTTAATTTTAATGTTTAATAAATCTCTTTAAAAAAAATTTTTTTTTTTTAAGAATTTATAGCCAAAATTAGAAGCATAATTTTTTAAGAATTTATAGTCAAAATCAGAAACAGTTTAAAGATAATTTTAATTTTTAAATTATGCATGAATTAACACAATACAATTAATAAAACTTTTATAATACTCATAACACCCTTAATTAAATTTAAAATTTAACATCATTTTAATCTAAAATTCAAACTCATAATATAATATAATATAATAGTAATATTGTAATAAATAATATTATTATTATATTAATAACTCTAATATTATTATT